TTCTCTGTATCTATGAGAATGTTTCTGTTCTGCTTGTTCATTTTGTCTGTAGATTCCATTGTCGATAGATATATATTTATTGCCATTTTTATCTTTTTCTTCAAGAAGACCCTTCAACATTTCATATAATAATGGTTTGGTGGTGATGAACTCCTTTAGCTTTTCCTTGTCTGGGAAACTCTTTATATGGCCATCGATTCTAAAGGACAGCTTTGCAGGATAGAGTAATCTTTTTTTTTTTTTTCCCTCACCCGAGTACATTTTTCCATTTTTTGTTCAGGTAGAGTGGGAGGGAGGGAGAGGAACAGAGAGAGAGAGAGAAACATCGATGTGAAAGGAACACATCGAGTGGCTGCCACCCGCACGACCCAGGGCCGGGAACAAACTGCAACCGAGGTACACGCCCTTAGCGGGAACCGAACCCGGCTCTCTCAGGACCACAGGCTGACGCTCTAACCGCTGAGCCAAACCGGCCAGGGCAGGATAGAGTAATCTTGGTTGTAGGTTCTTGCTTTTCATCACTCTGAATATTTCTTGCCACTCTCTTCTGGCCTGCAAAGTTTCTTTTGAGAAATCAGCTGACAGTCTTATGGGAACTCCCTTGTACCGTAACTAACTGCTTTTCTCTTGCTGCTTGTAAGATTCTCTCTGTCTTGAACATTTTGCATTTTGACAATGATGTGTCTTGGTGTGGACCTCTTGGGGTTCATCTTGTTTGGGACTCCATGTGCTTCCTGGGCGTGTATGTCTGTTTCCTTCGCCAAGTTAGGGAAGTTTTCTGCCATTATTGTTTCAAATAGGTTTTCAATTTCTTGTTCTCTCTCTTCTCCTTCTGGCACCCCCAAGATGCGAATGTTGGCACGCTTGAAGTTGTCCCAAAGGCTCCTTACACTATTCTCATTTTCTTGGATTCTTTTTTTCTGTTCTGATTGGGTGTTTTTTGCTTCCTTATATTCCAAATTGGTGGTTTTCTTCTTGGCTTTACCTACTCTACTATTGAATCTGTGTAAATTATTCTTTATTTCAGTTAGTGCTTCCTTCATTTCTGACTATGCATCCTTCATTTCTGACTGGTCCTTTTTTATACTCTTGAGGCCCTCACTAAGTTCGCTGAGGTTCTCACTAAGTTCATTGAGCATCCTTATAAGCGGTGTTTTGAACCCAGCATCTGTTAAGTTGCTTATCTCCATTTCACTTAGTTCTTTTCCTAGATATTTTTTCTGTTCTTTAATTTGGGACCTGTTTCGTTGTCTCCTCATTTTGGCTGCCTCCCTGTGTTTGTTTCTGTGTATTACTTAGCGACAGGTATGGGGCTAGTTGAGACCAGATGCTGCTCGTTTGAAAGAATTTAGGAAAACCTGAAGCAGGATCCAAGACAGGCCAATCCTAAGGTTCAGCAACTGGCAACAGTTGGGTGGGCCTGAAAGGCGGGGCCTCAGGGAATCACCAGGGCGGGGCAACCAGTGTGAGCCAGGTTGCTGGAGTCCCTGATATGGCAACTGTCTGCCGGCCTCATGGGGGAAGGGCTCACCAAAGGAACAAAGGCCTCTGACTGCACAACTGTCCCATAGAAAGCCCCCTCTCCAGCCCTCACTCCAGTGCCAAACAACTCAGTTCTTCCCTGTATGTCTCTGGCGCCCCTCAAACTGCCTCCCCTCCAAGCTTAGAGGGAGTGAGTCCGATAAGTCCGTGCGCGGGCCCTTTAAGGAGCTGCCTGGGGCTCCAGCAGCGTCAGCCTCCCTGAGCCTCAGTTCCGGCTGGTTTTCCAACCAGAAGTTATGGGGATTCTCTTCCTGGCACTGCAACCCTGAGCGGGGCACCTGGTGTGGGATGGGGACCTCTCAGTCCTCAGGGAGGACCTTCCCAGCCGAGGTGTCCTCCTGATTTTTATCCGCTACATGTGGGTGTGGGACCAGCCCGTCCACCTCCGCCCCTCCTACCAGTCTCCATGCGGCTGCTGCTTTAATTCCTTAGTTGTAGGACTTCCATTTAGCTTGATTTCAGGTGGTTCTGAATGATGGTTGCTCTGTAGTTTAGTTGTAACTTTGATGTGGTTGTGGGAGGACGCGATTCTGCGTTTACCTACGCCGCCATCTTGACCGGAAGTTTATTTTTTTTTTTTGTAATTTATTAGTATGGCAGAAACTTTTCAGTTACTAGCAATCTGTTTTTATAGGCCACACCAAGATTATGAATACCATCTGTAAAAGATAGAGTAACTGTGAAACAACCTGCTTACAAATTTTTTAAATAAAAGTGTTTCATTTCAGAACTCCTGGTGGCTACAGGGCGCCAGGAGCTTACTAGACATGCAAACTATATAGACCCAGGCTGCTTGAGTGTTGTTTGTTTGTTTGTTTGTTTGTTTGTTTGTTTTTTTGAGTAAATCTTGTAAGATATATTTTGTTATCTGATATTATTATTTTGCAGCTGAAGTTGGGTCGTCATCACATATTTCACATTCAAGTCCTGGGAGTCAAATGTTTGCTTGTATGCTATTCAATTAGAATGTGTTTCTATTCAAAAACATTACACATAAATAATATCACATGTTTGTATCCACTTAAATAATTAGCCTTAGCAATGATGTTATAATCAATCCATTATTCAGACCTTAGTAAAGTTTTCTCCTGTTAAAATAATTATGTAAGTGGTTGCCAGGGGCTGGGAGGAGCGAATAGAGAGTGACTACCAATGGGTATGGGGTTTCTATGAGGGATTTTGTGGCCTAAAATTAGATAGTGGTGATGGTTATACAGTTCTTTGAATGTAGTTTAAAAAATAACTGAGCCCAGGCAGTGTGGCTCACTGGTTGAGCATCAACCCATACACCAAGAGGTCGCTGGTTCAATCCCTGGTCAGGCCACATGCCCAGGTTGTGAGCCAAATTCCCAGAGGGGGCATGCAGGAGGCGGCCACTCGATGTTCTCTCTCATCGATGTTTCTGTCTCTCTCTCCCTCTCTCTTCCTCTGTCTCTAGAATCAGTAAGTAAGAAATATTTAAAAACAAAACAAACAAAAAACTGAATTTTACACTTTAAAGGGGTGGATTTCATTGTATGTGAATTATATCTCAATAAGCTTTGACTAAAAATAATTCATATTTACATATAATTTTAAAAACTGACACAAAGTTATTTTACAGTATGACATTTGTTTTGTAATTCTGAGATAATTATGAGTTTTTTGGAAAGATTCTCCCAAAGGTCTCATAAATACAAATATACTTCCACTTCTTTACTGAAAGACAAAATTATGCAAATTAAAATAAAAAATAAATCAAAACACCCTGACCATGTCACTCTATAATGAAGATAGTTCCCAGAATAGCATATTATTTCTTACTGCTTCAGCCTCAGAGATGCAAAATAATGGAGTTTGAGGATGAAGAGGGAAAATCCAGTTGCCGTTGCTTTATTTTATTTTTATTATATTGAAGTATTTCTGTGTCCTTTATCCTCCATACTTAGTCAGATTTCTATGCCTTGTCAATTTTTCTATGAATGTCTTTTTCTCCCTTCATATTTCCATAGCTAACAGCCTTGACATAATAGGCATTACATTCCAGCAGGGTTATTATGCTCATTCCCTCCTGGTTTTTTTTCTCTCTCCCCATCCAGGCTCCCCACCTGCAACTGCTGTATTGATCACTACAGCTGTCATTATTGATCAGCCTCTTAACACTATTTCATTTTCTTACTAAAGAGCATACATGGGCCACATACAGCAAAGCATAAATTCCTCTTCTGTGAAAGACAATTTAAGGCCCTCCAGGATCTGAGCTCACTTGACTAATCCCACTCTATCTCTACTCTTCCCAGCCAGTATTTTGCGTTAGACAAATTGGTAGCAATCTGTTGTTGCACACATGCCATGTTCATTCTCCTTTCTGTGACTTGACTCATGCTGTTCTCCTACCTCTCTGAACCTTTTCCCTTCCTGCTCATCCTGTAAGCCACACCTCAAGGCCTATTATATTTATGAATCCTTTCCTAATTATTTCTACTTTCCCTCTACTCATTTTGCTTTTACTAGCTGAATTGTCAACTTAGTATTCATTAAATGGTACTGAATATAGTTCTTTAATCATTTTGTGTTTGTAAATTTTATTTCTCCAACTATGACCATTGTTAAGCACTTTGATGTCATGGTACATGTATTCATTATACTGGCTAAATAATTGGCAATCAGCTATTGATTGATTAATTAATTTTCTTTGTATTGATAGGTAATATGGGTTACATTTATTATAATGTTTTAATATCTTAGCCCTGGGTTTGGGGCTTTCTTTCAGCATTCCTTTATATTATATTTATATATAATATTTATATATATGTATCATCCCTTTATTATTAACTACTGCCATGATGCCAGGACTTTTTTTTTTAATCCTTACCCAAGGATATTTTTCCATTTATCTTCAGATAGAGTGGAAGGGAGGGAGGGAGAGAAACATTGCCATGAGAGAGACCCATCGACTGGTTGCCTCCGTCATGACCCCAACCAGGACCAAAAACTGAACCGCAACCCACATACCAGACCAGAATTGAACCCAAGACTCTTTGTTCTGCAGGCCAGTGCTCTAACCACTGCACCAAACTAGCCAGGGCAGGACTTCTTTTGTTATGTTAGGCACCTAGACAGGGAAAAGTTCCTGCTTTCTGTATTACTCCCTCTTCAACACTGATCTTGATGTCAAAGCTAGCTGATGAGATCATGAAGAACTTTGAAACTATTGTATAAAATAGAACTGACCAGAAAAACACAAAGGCTTTTATGTAGACTTAGAAGGACATTAGAGAGTAAAAAGCTCTTTTCTTGGGATAGAAGAAATAGTTACCATCCTAGAGATATGCTGCTATAATTCATCCCATTTTCTGTTGTCTCTTAATGTTAATACTTTTTGCAGCTATTCACAAGTGTTCTATGAAACTTGGACTCTTAAAAGGCTGAATTATCATTACAGTGTGACTTAAATATTTTACATGTTTTGTCACTAGGCACTCCATATTGCATTAAAAAACTCCCACGGACTCCTCAGAGAGAAGAAATTATAGAAGATGGAACACAACAATATGTTTATCTGGAAGATGGAGACGTGGTTAAGACTGAGGGTGCCACCCTAAGGTACGTAAATTACCTTTGGCCTGGGAAGGTGGTAGGGGGTGGGAGTAGTCTATGTATACGTGTTGTAAAAGGAGGGCAAAGGAAGTCTCCTGAATATTTGCTTGTATGAATGAAGAAGGATATAAGAGATCTGATTACATTGGTTATGCTGGGAAGAGAAAATGGGTTGCTTGAGAAACAGGGAAAAAGAGACTTCTCCGTCTATCTACTTTTTTATAATTATTTGTTTGAATAATATGATTATCATTTTTAATGAATAAAATTTAAATTAAAAAATAGATTAGAATTTTCTGCTAGGAAATTCAGGGCTTTCTCATATTCTCACTTCCAAAAGATGACCCATACCCATATATTTTAGGCCAGGCCTATAATCCCCTATGACCTATTTGTGTTTCTAACTCAGTAATTGTAGAACTGAACTAATTATGATTCTCCTCTCTCCCCCCCACCATCTATCCTGGCTTGCTGATTTCAGAACATCTACTTCTGTTAGTGCTTAAGATTTTATTTTGTCTTCTGTGATAGAAGCTAACTCCTTTTCACCTTTATCACTTTCCCTCCCCCTGCCCACCACATCTAATCATGTTAGGGTTTTTTTTTATTGATGTTTTTTAGAGAGAGAGAGAGAAACATAGATATGAGAGCTAAACATCAATCAGCTTCCTCCTGCACACCCCCTAGCTGGGATCAAGCCTGAAATCTGGGCACGTGCCCTGACCGGGAATCAAACTGGCAACCTTTTAGAGAATGGGACGACACCCAGCCAACTGAGCCACACTGGCCAGGGCTAATCACGTTAGTTTTTAGCTAAAAAATATTTGTTACTGCTGTCTTTCTTTCTTCATGTCCACTACCACTACTTCTTGGTAATATTCCTGTCTCCAGGCTCTCCCCTTTCCAAGCTACCCTTAGTATGCTCTGTCACATGAAAGCTTGAATAATTCTCACTGCATACAAGATAATGTTTATTCTCCTTACCGCAGCCTGGCCCCAAACCACTTTTCTGGTCTTAGCTCCTACCACTCCCCCTCGCAAACACAATTAGCCATGTCCAAATACTCCTGAGCACATTCTATCTGTTCATGCCTTTGCTCATACCCTCCCCTTTGCTAGGTCTCACCCCTTCCCCCAACCTTGTCCCCCTGATAAATGATTATCCATCTGTTCTTCAAACCTCAGTTTACATATTACTTCAAGAACCCTCTGGGCAGAATTAACTGCTTCCTCCTCCAACCTTTATATAATTTTCATTTTTTTATTACAACACTTACTAAATTATAAAAAAAATTTTGGTGTGTAAATAGGTATCTCTTCAAAAGGTAATCAGTTCCCTGGGTTTACAATACATAATAGTTAATGTCAGTTACTGTAGCAAACCACACCACAAATGTATAATAGCTCAAACATTAAGTAAGTTTACTTCTCAGTCACATTAAGTCCAAAAATGGTTCCTATTCCTGATCAGCAAATGAGCAAATGACCCTCATGCATGTAATGTTTCAAGATCCTTGTGGATTATTCCGACCTCAATACTTGGCTTTCAGAGTTGCCATACTCACCACAATCAGTACAGTGAGTGGAGAATGAGCATGGAAGGAGGCTTATGTGGGAGGTGTTCATGGACCAGGCCTTCTGTTGCATTGCCTATCAATTCAGTCATGTGCCACTCCTGACTGTGGGGAGGCTGGAAAATACTCTTTAACTTCGTACCCAGGCAAAGAGGAAATAGGTTTGATGATAAGATAGCCATCCTCTGACACAGGCAGATACCAGATTCATCTTCATATCCTCAGTCCCTGGCAGTGAACATTTATCCTACATGTAATAAATGTCTACATCTTAAGAGGCAAGTAGATGAACAAATAAATGAGAGAGGAAATGAAGTAATGGGTGTCTGTGCCCCCTTTCGAAACAGCGTCCTCTTTTCCACTATGCCAGTGATTTACAAAATTTAATTTATAAACCAACTAATTGCTGGGCAGTTTTCTTAAAATGCTATTGTTCAGAGTATGATAGTATCTTGTATAATTTGCTGCTGATATCACAGAGAATCAAATGTTATATTACTACTTCTTCAAAAAGTATTCTTGTCCTGGCCGGTTGCTCAGTGGTTAGAGCGTCGGCCCATAGACCAGAGAGACCCGGGTTCAGTTCCCACTAAGGGCACGTACCTTAGTTGCAGTTTGTCCCCAGACCCAGTTGGGGTCGTATCGGTGGCAGCCAGTCAATGTGTCTCTCTCACATCGATGTTTTTCTTTCTGTCTTCCTTCCTCCTGCTCTATCTGAAGATAAATGCAAAAACGCCCTCGGGTGAAGATAAAAAAAATTAAAAAGTATTCTTGGCAATACTGAATGTCCTCCATCACATACCAAGTGAAAGAAGGGGCTGGAGATAGGAAGTGGTTCCAGTCTTCTGTCTCAGAGGTTTATCAGGACTAGTTTATCAGTTATCACAGAAGCATGGATATTAGATCCATACCTAACATGCAGATAAAGACTATTCAGGCTTTGGAAGTTAACTACCTACCACCCATCTGCCGTAAACAGACCACATATTTTAAGCTTTTAAAGCATACAAACAGAAAAGTGTACATGTCATCAGTGTGCAAGGTGGGGAATTGTTACAAACTGAACAAACCATATGAGCAGTTTGCAGATTAGAAACAGCAGCAGTGCCCTAGAGCCACCCACGTACTTGCTTCCTGTCACTGCCCCACCCCCTCAGTTGAACACTGTCTTGTTTCATGGAGTGAATTGATGCCAAGGATCTCAATATTAATGTGAATTCCATTTAATTTTTGTTTTACTGCATTCTAATTGTTAATATGGGAATCTATTTTAAGATTTGAGGGGAAAACTAACACAAAGAATTAAAAAAAACACTTTTTTAAATGACAGTAAATCTTTTCTCAATATGTAAATTCCAATTATGCTAAAATCTGAATAAAACATTTAATTTACTGTTGATGTAGTTTCCATTTTTATAGTCAGTAAATCCTCAATTGTGTTAAATGTTAACATGAAGACTCATTCTTACACAAAAGTTCCATAAACAGAAGGTTAAAATTTACTTAATCCAAATTTTTGATGTCCAGTTGATCTTGTCTACATGCCAATCTTGAAAAGAAAAAAAAAAACAATAGGAATAGAGATAATACTCACCAAGAACCCATTAGTAAACAACAGAAAGTTAGCAAGGTTCTCAGTAAGGATTCTGGATGTAACCCTCGGGAATTTTCTAGTGAACTAAATTTAAGTTCTCAAAGTTAATCTGACAGCTTTTGCTGACTGTTCTGAATGTTCTGAGAGAGCCACTCTTACGAAGTCTGTGTCACAGAAGCGGAGAACTAGATGAATGCTCTACCTGATGAATGGGAGGCACAGCTGCAGTTCCTCTGATCTTTAGCAGAGCACCTCTGATGTCATTTCCTTGTCTCCTCCCGCCTACGTGAAGTGAATTTTAACACAGTTTTTATGCAAATTAAAGCATTAGCCACCCAGGTGACTGGAGGATTGGAAGTTCTGATCTCCTAATTTAAGAAATCTTTGCCTTCAGCCTAGAAAATATCAAAGGAAACCATTAGTGAGTCTGGCATGGGGAGTGGGAAGGGAATAATTAAGGAGGCATTACAAGCTCCTTGACGGATAAGACAGTTTGCAGACCCTGGAAGAATGGTCCTCCAAGTGAGTTTATGTAGATTAAAAAGAACAAAAGATTGTGGTTCCATTTGTAAACACATTATATGTGTGACTTCATAAGATTGTCCATAAGATAAGATAGACACCCATACCACATATTTTTATAGTTGCTGGAAATATGTCTCCTGCGATTATTTTTATATAACACGGAATATTTTCACTAACTGGTTGCAGCAGGTTTAATCACAAAAGAGATGATTTCTAACACCTCACCATTACTAAATACAGTAATCATTTGACATATATGAAGCATATACTTGGAAACCATAAACGTAAAATAGTTCCTAAAATCAGTTCTTAATGCCTCTCAAAAATAATTGTTCTCATTACACAAGTATCTCATATTCTTATACCTTATATCTCTTATGTTTTTAATGAATTCTTTACAAAGGCTTTCCAGTTACAATATTTAGCATTGAGGACTTACTGAATTTTTTGGCAAACAAGAAACTTCTAAGTTTAGTCATTTCAGTTTTCTTAAATACTGTTCTCTACAAGTTGAATTTTGTCAAATGTCTTTGCAGTGTCTAGGAGATGAACTTACTCATTTTCTCCATAGCTTTATTATGAAGTGCAGTCATCTCATAAAACTGAAACACCCTGACATTTTTTAAATAAATTGTATTTGCTCTCAATGGTATTTTTAAATATGCTTTTGGATTCTATTTGTTAATATTTTAGTTAAGATTTTTTTATAACAGCATTCATTAGTGAGATCAGGAAGTAGTTTTCTTTTTGTTCAACCTATGTCAGGTTTGGGATTCATAAGTTTTTTCTCTTTTTTCTATGCTCTGGGATAGGTTAAGTAGTTGGTAGAGTTATTTAGTGAAAATACTGAGCCTTTAGTTAGTTGCTAATGACATTTACACCCCTTTTTAGTGGAGCTTCATTTTGCTTATTTGTAATATGGTCCGGTGAGTTTAGCTTAATGCAAATAACTTTAACTTATTTCTGTGAATGTCCTGCTTCCCAGCAATCTTTTATCTATTGGTTTTAGCGTCTATTTATGATACTTGCCTTAATTAATATATTGAAGGTGGCACAATTGTGACTTTTCTTATTCTATTTCTTCTACTTTCTTTTTGGTTTTGTTTTTTCTTTATTTGCTTACATTCTTCTTAAGGAAGAGATTGCCCCTTCCTCTTTTTTGAGTGTAACTACAGACTTTTTTTGTTTTTTTATTCAGGGCTTCCTTGTCCTTTTGATATGGCCCCCTAATCTTTCAGTATCTTCTTGCTGTCTGACACAGGATGTCTAATACCACAATTTACTTTCCCTGCCTCAGACCTGGAGCCAGCATGTCTTTAAGAAACCCTGGTTTCGCCCTGGCCGGTTTGGCTCAGCGGTTAGAGCGTCAGTCTGCAGACCAGAGAGTCCCAGGTTTGGTCCCTGCTAAGGGCACGTACCTCGGTTGCAGTTTGTCCCCAGCCCCGGTTGGGGTCGTGTGGGTGGCAACCACTCAATGGGTCTCTCTCACATCAATGTTTCTCTCTCTTCCTTCCTCTCTCCCTCCCGCTCTATCTGAAGATAAATGCAAAAATGTCCTCGGGTGAGGATAAAAAAAAAACAAAACAAAGAAACCCTGGTTTCTCTGAGGGAAATGGTATTTAGAAACAAAGAACTGAGTGTGAGGTGTGCTCATTACTGCTAGAGTATCAGCACATCTGGGCCTTTTTATAGACAGAGCTAGAAAAAAAAATTGTGAATTCATTATTCCTCGATTCAAATAAGAAACAACCCGAAATTTAATTCCCTGATTCCATTTTTTTTTTTTCCTTATCCCACAGTGAAAAACTTGGTTCTTGACATTGATTTATTTACTTGTTTATACTAGCATATAATACACACAAAATAGTTTCAGAAACAATAACTAGTAACACTGCTAACGTTAAACCTATTAAGTTCAAGATATCTTTGCAATTCTTTTGATCTTAAGATATATTCCATTAAGAATGTACAGGCTTAGTATTATATTTAAAACGTATTTGAGCCCGGCCAGTACAGCTCAGTGGTTGAGTGTTGGCCCATGCACCAGGAGGTCGCCAGTTCAATTCCTGGTCAGGGCACATGCCCACTGGGTAGGATGGCAGGAAGCAGCCTGTCAGTGTTCTCTCTCATTGGTGTTTCTATCTTTCTCTCCCTCTCCCTTCATCTCTCTCTAAAATCAATAAAGAAAATTTTTAAAAATAAATAAATAAAACTTATTTGAATCAATTCAGTTTTTTACTGTGACTATGTTATCTATCCAAAGTACAATAAGATTTACTTCTTTCTATATTGAATATTAAGGATTTTTCCTTTCTATTTATGTTTTGAATATACGAAATATTTACATAGAATGAAAGTTAAAACCACTAAAAAAGGTTGTTCTAATTAGAGAAGTCTTGATTGCACCTCTATTCCCTACACCCTACATGCCTACCCTCTATGGGCAGCTGTATTTATCAGTTTTTTATTTATCCTTCCTGACTTTCTATTTTGCAAAAATAAGGAAATATATACATTTATGTTTTTATTTCCCCATCTTTCATATATAAAACAGCATACTATGAACACTCTTTGGTGCTTTGCTTTTTATCACTTGACAGTATATCCTACAAATTACTCCATATCAGTCCATAGAGATCTTCCTCATTCTTTTTGATGACTGTATAGTGTTTCATTGTGTAGATATACCATAATTTATCCAGAGTGACCTATGACTTGGCATTGGGTTGTTCCTAATGTTTTGTTATTACAAATAATGTAATGAATAAATTATTTTGTATTTGTGAAGGTATATTTTTGGGAGTAAATTTCTAGCATTGGGTTTGATGGGTCAAAGGATGCTATTTTGTTAGAAAATGCCATATTTCCCTCTATATGGACTGTGCCATTTTGCTTACCCTCCAGCAACATATGAAAGTGCTTTTTCTTATAGTCTTGCCATAAAGTGTATTGTCAAATGTACTTCCTGCCCTGGCCGGTTTGGCTCAGCAGTTAGAGCATCACCTGTGGACCAAAGAGTTGCAGATTCAATTCCAGTCAAGGGCATGTACCTCAGTTGCTGTTTGATCCCAGCCCTGGTCAGGGTCATGAAAGAGGCAACCAATCAATGTGTCCCCCTCACATCGAAGTTTCACTCTCTCGCTCTCTCCCTCCCTTCCTCCCTCTCTCTCTCCCACTCTATCTGAAGATAAATGGAAAAATATTCTTCCTGACATGCAAAGAAAATTGAAAAAATATATATGTTCCTAAAAAATAAAAGCACTGTCTGTAGTAGAAAGATTGGTGATTTTTATCTACTTTTAGGTACTTTCCTTTTCTGTTTTCCAAATTTGTTGTAATCAGTATTTATTATAAAATTTTAAAAAGTGGGAAAAGTATTAAACTTATACTTCAGAGTGAGAAATTTGATTTGGTTGAAGGAGAAAATTTCTGGTGATAAGTTTCAGTGCGTGACAAGAGAAAAGGAAGCTTTTTAATTCGCTGACATTATTTATTTGTGTCTTATCCAGGGGTAAGGATAAAGAGTAATTTGCTTCTCAAAATTTCTTCTAAGCTTAAGAGTCCATAATTGTTTGTATTTCTTCTTTCAGAGTTATATACACCCCTGGCCACACTGATGATCATATGGCTCTACTTTTAGAGGAGGAAAATGCTCTCTTTTCTGGAGATTGCATCCTAGGGGAAGGAACAACTGTCTTTGAAGACCTCTATGATTATATGAATTCTCTAAAAAAGTTATTGAAAATCAAAGCTGATATGATATATCCAGGTAGGTAATTTTTTAAATCTGGTAAACCATTTGTGTCAGATGATGAGAAAGAATTATTGTGTGTGTGTGTGTGTGTGTGTGTGTGTGTGTGTGTGTGTGTTTTCGGCCTTGAAGACAGACATATAAACTACTTCTTTAAATTATACCCATAAGTCCTGTCTAGCCATGCAATTTTTAAAAGGGCCAAGATTTATATTAACTTCTTATAAACATATAAGGGATAGTTTTAACATCTAAACAGCAATTATAGAACTGTTAAACAAGGGAAATAACTTACATTGAAACAAGAAAAGATTTTCCTTCCATAAGCTATCTTCAGTTTTATTAACTTGATTTCTGTAGTGGACCTCATTTTAGCCATGTAACCATGGGTAACATTTGACCTCTGAATTTTAGTTATTTAAATTCACACAATTGAAATATCAGTAGCTTCCATATGAACTGTAAAATCATTTATTTTGATTCTCCAGGAAAAGAAACCTGTTGTTAGTATCTCAGCTATCACTGTACTGCTCTGCAGTACGAATTTCCCCTCCATTCTGAAAGCTAAGAAATATACAGGACCCAATAATAGGGTCCAGAAAAGAAAAGAGACTAGGGCACTTAATTTTTAAGTCCTTCTAACTTATTCCTAAACAAAGAGCCATGGAAAGATCTGCAAATACAGTGTCTTCAATACCCTCATATTCTCTCATGAGTTTCTACTACTGAGGGAGTGGGAAACATACCCTGGGCATTTGGATTAATATTATGACATAAAAGGAATGGAAGCTGACAGCTATTTTTAAAGCAAAGAGAAGAGCCGTTTGATGCACTTGTATTCAAGCAAAGCTAATAAGAGGCTGCCTAGCAGAGGCCCTTAGTGTGTTACCTTTAGTGAATCCAGTGAACTGCCTTATTAACACAGCAGGAGCTTATATGAAAATTATGTCCTGTAGCCATAGCTACCATATATTAAAGCCTGCTCCCCATCAGGTACATGCAGGGACCTTTCCAGCTAGCTGTTGTTCTCACTAAAACCCACTGAAGAAGGTAGCAGTGTCTTCATTGTACAGCTGAAGAAACAGTTCAGAGATTTTCACGGCCAGACAGCTAGTAAATGATGGTTGGTATTCTAACCAAAGCCCCTGCTCATGGGCTTTGAAAACCCATGATAATGGGTTAGCCTACTTCTGTGTATTTTGTCCTCAAATATTTTAAACATCCTTCTGGCTGACTTGTGTAATATATTAATTTGCACTGAGCAAAAGAGCATGTAAATTTCAATATAATTTTATCTGGGTTGTCAACATTTCTGAATTACAAGCCTATATATAAGGTCTTTATTGTTTTTGTTTTTGTTTTTTGTTTTTTGTTGTTGTTAACCCTCGCCCGAGGATACTTTTCCATTGATTTTAGGTAGAGTGCAAGGGAAGGAGGGGGAGAGAAAGAGAAACATCCATGTGAGAGAGACACATTGATTGGTTGCCTCCCACACAACCCCAACTGGGGATCAAACCTATAATCCATGTATATGACCTTGACTGGGAATCAAACCGGAGACCCTTCAGTCTGAGGGCCAGACGCTCTAACCACTGAAGCAAACTGGCCAGGGCTACAAGATAGGTTCTTAAAGTTCTACTGTGGTTCCTGTGAATTTCTAATAGCTCTTGGTTACTTACATGAAGCTACTTTTACATTCCCCTTTTCAGTCTTTTATAAGTAAGTGTAGCACAGTGGTAATAGACTAGACTGGTTAAAAGCTCCTGGGTCAGAATCCCAGCTCCACTCTTTAGCTGTGTAACTATGGGCAAGTTATTTACCCTCCTTATGCCTCAGTTTCTGCTATGAAAAAAGGATAATAATAGTACCTACCTCTTGGGATTCTTGTAAGAATAATATATAGCATTTAGAACAGTGCCTGGCAAATAATAAGTACTCTGTAAATATTACCTATCATTACTGTTGTGATTCCTGTTATTGCTATATTTTTATCCTTTTTAATGTACATAATAAAATTTTATATACATTTTGATATGATTATCTAATGATTTTTGGCATTGTACATAATTTTTAAGTCTCATATCTGTATAGTTTTCCAAGTAACTCTTATTTGTTGTGTATTTAGTATGCTGTTTCAATACATCATATGGATTATTTTTAAATAGGATGAATTAACTTCAGTTATACTTAATATTTTAATCTTGTTGAAATAATTTTTTATTACTCTAATTCAGGACATGGTCCCGTAATCCATAATGCTGAAGCTAAAATTCAACAATACATTTCTCACAGAAACATTCGAGAAGAGCAAATACTTAAAATATTTCGTGACAATTTTGATAAATCATTTACAGCAATGGATCTTGTAAAAATTATTTACAAGGTAATTTTTCTTTATCTTATTTATATATAGCCACAATTTTATTAAAATAATCTATTTTAGCTCTGGCCAGTTTGGCTACGCAGTTAGAGTGTCGGCCTGTGGTCCAGAGAGATCCGGGTTTCCCACTAGGGTCACATGCCTCGGTTGCAGTTTGTCCTTGGCCCTGGTCGGGTTGTGCAGGTGGCAACCACTCGATGTGTCACTTTCACGTTGATGTTTCTTTCTCTCTCTCTCTCTCTCTCTCCACTCTATCTGAACAAAAATGGAAAATGTCCTCGGGTGAGGATAAAAAAAAGAATCTATGTAATAAACTATAGCCATAATAATCCTAGTCACCTCCCAAAAGAGAGTAAGGGTTAATTTTATAAGTAATGCTACTTGCATATATTCAAGACCAGCAACCTCAACTTTATAGAACATAGAAGTTAAACAAAACCTTGCCCAGAGAACAAAAATAACCATTCTGAGCCATCATTAAACCATATTCTTCATTCTGTAGGAGAAACCGTTTCCAGCAGCTTGATGATGAAGTTTTGTAGTGACTTATGTATTGTTCTAGCCATCTTGATTATCTGGTGTCCTAGGCCATAGCAAGTGAGGAGAGGCAGTCTGCTGGAGACAGATACTAGGACAAGCGCAGTAAGGTGCAGCAGCGATGCCTGATGATGGATAAAGTGCATGTGAAGAACATGAGTAGAGAAATTTAGTGTATAGAGAGAACCTCTCACTACAATGGCCTCTGAGCACATCACTATATGACAGCACTATGTGGCAGTCTATCAGTATAGTCCAGTTTTTCAGCGAATGTTTATTAGATAACTGCTGTGTCGGCAGTATAGCTTAGAAGTATTAGATTACCTGGGTTTAAACTCTCCCACTACCACAACCTATACAGCCAAAAGATACATGAGAGTGTACCTAAAGATGAGCTTGAAAAGTTACGTGGGGCCAATTACAGCTGGTAAGGGTCCTTAATATCCTGTATACCCAAGTTATGAGAAAACAGATCATTCTCAGTGTGCTTTGTTTTAGTTTTGTTTGTTTGTTTGTTTTTGTTTTTAAACATAGAGCAGGAGGGAGAGATGGGGAAGAGAGAGAGAAACATCGATGTGAGAGAGACACATTGACTGGTCGCCACCCACACGACCCCACCGGGGCCGGGGACAAAGCGCAACCAAGGTAGGTGCCCTTAGCGAGAACCGAACCCGGGACTCTCTGGTCTGTGGGCCAACGTTCCAGCCCCTGAGACAAACCAGCCAGGGCAGTGTGCTTTGTTTTAAAAGAGAAGGGTGATTAAAAAAAAAAGAAAGAGAGAGAGAGAGAAAGGAGGGGAATGAAGGGTTAAAATAGCTAATGATTTTTTTTTAAAGTGCCATTGGCAAAAGGGTAATGTAAATATTTAAGTTCTGTGAAAGAGTTCATTTCTTCATAATACTAGAGTAGAGCCACTCGACACTATTCATTGGTATACTGGGATTTTTTTCTATCCTAAGTAGAGACAGATCTCTGATAACCCTCACAGATGAGTCATCAAGCATCTGCCCATACCTAAAATAATATTCCTTTGCATTCAGAATTGTGTTCAGTTGTGTATTCACTGTGTTTATGTGTGAAGTACCTGTTGAATATAGAATGGCATCAAGTACTACAGAGGGATTTATTCATTCAACAAACATTTATCAACTGTCTTTCATGTGCCACATACTGAGCTAATAGTATAGAGATACAAAGATCACTACAGATCCCTGCCCTCAAAGGACTCAGTTCATGTTCAACACATACTTGTATCAGTGGAAAGGGAAAGTGTACTCATTACAAAAAAGTTACACCATGTACTTGTAATACTGTCACAATAACTTCCATTTTTTTGCACAATTTTATGTGCTAGACACTGTACTTAAATGCTTTACATTTACAAATGTAATTTGAGGTACTTAATTCAAATACCTCAAATTTTCACTGCATAAAGATACAATTATTCCAGTTTAATAGGTTAAAAAACTGACTTCGAAAGTATAAGCTAAGCAACTTTTTCAAGGACAGACAACTAGAAAATGTCATGCTCAAATGTCAGATGTCAGATACTCAAATCTTGTTTGTGTCATACCAGGCTTCCTCCAAGGCCAATGCACAGTATGTCAGGCCATAAAGGAAGAGGGATCAATTCTACCTGATGAAGATACAGGATAATGAGGCTTGTCTGGAAAAGCTTTGGAAACTTAAATCATTTCATTGGATCTAAACAGAAGGGAGATGTGGTCAAACACTGGGAGTAATAAAAGAGCATTGCATGTGTTTGAAATCCCATGGAGAAACCACATATGAATGCATATGTGGATGGTCAGGAAGAGAGTCCCAGGGAATGAGTTAGGAAAGGCAGGCATGATCAGGTCATGGGAAGCCTTAATTGATTGCCATGCTAACAATGTTGAGCTTTAGCCCATAACCTGGGAATGATCAACTATTCAAGGTCTCAGGAAGGGGAGTCACATAATGCGATCTAGAAGATTACACTGGTGGAGATAGTAAATGGTACTGGAGCTTAAGGGAGAGTTTGGGGTTGGAGGTTTACATTTGGGGATTATTAATTTGTGATATTGCTGTGGCAAGTTGGTTGAGTAAAAAGAGAAGAGAGTCAATGATACAACACACTGTACACATTAGTGTTTAAGAGAAGTCCAAAGAAGAGTATCCATGATGAAACTAAATGATAAAAGAGGTAGAATAATCAAGGGAAATGTGAAAAGTTATTTTCATATAACCTAATAAATAAACCATAGGGCCAATGTCTGTAGCATCATCAAAGCTATCTAGAATAATTTTTACATTTATTTATTCATCCATTCGTAAAATATTTTGTTCCTACTATGTGCTATTTTGCTAAGCGCTGGGTATTTAGTAGTGAACAAAATGTACTATTGTGGGGAGGGGGGTGCCAATGGGGTAAAAAAGGTAAAATATCTGTAACAAAAAAATAAATAAAAAAAAATTTTTTAAAAAACGTACTATTGCCCTGGCCGGTTTGGCTCAGCGGTTGGAGCGTCGGCCTGCGGTACAGAGAGACCCAGGTTCGGTTCCCGCTAAGGGCACGTACCTCGGTTGCAGTTTGTCCCCAGCCCTGGTTGGTCGTGCGGGTGGCAGCCACTCGATGTGTCCCTTCACGTCGATGTTTCTCTCTCTCTCTCTTCCTCTCTCTCCCTCCCGCTCTATCTGAACAAAAAAAATGGAAAAATGTCCTCGGGTGAGGATAAAAAAAAACACACACACAAAAAAAACGTACTATTATCTTTATGGAGCTTATAGTCTATTTTATCTATAAGAATATAAATAAGAATATGATGCCTAAAGCAAGACACGTACAAGCTGAAATTGTTTTGACTATTACTATATAAAAATGAATTGAATTGGGGACATCTGTAATAGTGTCAACAATTAAAAAAATAAAAATTTTTAAATGAATTTAAATTAAAATTTTCTTTTGTTGCATTTTTTAGGTTTTGAAAAAATTAACTTTGTCCTTTTTTTAAAAAAGAAATGTTTTCTTTCACTCTCATTATATTTTAGACTACTCCTGAGTATTTACATAAAATGGCTGAACATAATCTCTCGCTTCATTTGAAAAAATTAGAAAAAGAAGGAATGATATGTAAGTATACTTCCAAATTTAATGCCAGCACTAAAATTTTTTTTAACAAATGAACTAGTTTCCTTTAGGAAAAGTAATGCCCATCAGAATCCTCCTTTGAATATCATTAGAAGTTGGAAAGATAGGCACTAGGAAGGGTCACTAGAGAAAGGCCAGTGGACCACAAGTGGAAACCAAACACTCCCATGGGAATTAGAATCTCGATTCAGGGTTCCAGTCCTCACCCACCAGAATGACAATCCAAGGCGTGTAGTAGAAAATAGCTTTTCTCCCAGACCACAAGACCACAAAGAATTTTATATGCAGAAGATGTGGGAACAGCTAAAAAGTTTAGCAGTACTAAAGGTAGTAAACTCAAAGATAGTAAAGCAGTAATTCTACAATTGTTTACTAGTGTTAGGTTAATTTGTCAAATTAAGAATCTTTATAGAAGTTTAATCCTTAAAATCAACAGATTCAAAGCTTGAATTTTGTGTAGAAGCTTCGGCAATGTTTTTAAATATACAAAACAAAAAATACCAACTTTATATTGAGCAACAAAATTATTTTTGGAGTGAATTTTTTTTAACTAGAATATAACTTAAAATCCAGAGAATTCGCTTGTCTGCTGTTAAAATTTTATTCTCTAATTTTCTTTCCACAGTTAGCAACACGGACCCTGACAAGAAATGGAGAGCTCGTCTTTAGTTTCAGATTAGTAAAAGTTGTGTTGTTTTGCTTTATTTTTAGAGAATGGTATGTTTTCTTAACTGTTAATTATTTACAGAGATTATAGAGTGTATAACGTTAAAAATAAATATATAAATTACATTTTATATCTATAAGATAGAATATTTATCTAACCTAGGTCTTACAACAAACAATAATGCTGTTTTTTCTAGCTGCTTCAGTAACAGCACAGATTTCTATGCAGTCCTTCCTTTTTTGCAACCCTTGTCTGTATCTACAGATAATAGCTTTGTTTTTATGCTTCTGTCGATTATATCATTATTATATATTACTGCTATAGCTCTCTATCATGTTTATTTTCTCATCATGGTGTTTCACAAATGATTCATGCACATCAACTTTTGGTAATTAAAAAATATATTCCCAGTTAAAGTCATTATATAATAAATAATTATTTCTATAATTCATGAGTACAACCAACTTTCCAAGTTTAGGTTTTAGTACAAAAATAGTCATCAGCTTATATGTGAATTATATACCATTTTTTAAATTAGAGGATTATAAAACAGGCATTTTTTATATAAGAAATGTTCTTAATTAGTGGTTATGTTCTCAGAGTAACCCACCAATGCTTATTTAACCCATAAGGTTACCAAACTGCTTTACTAAAATGAGCTCAGAATCCTGAGAATATACTTTCTGTACTCTTCCCTAAAGATCAGACTTGAATTTTTTTTAACTTTCTTTGACATCCCCCCCTCTTTCTGCCCTTTTCCCCAAGACCCTAGCATTTTCATACTATTCTAAGAACTTACTCTCATGCCCTAGAGACCTGTTGTGTTCCTGAAACCATTATTTTCCATATTGCAAAATAATTGTGAAAACAACAAAAAGAAGCAACCCAATTCAAAAATGGGCAAAGCACTTGAATAGAAACTTCTCCAAAGAAGATATACAAATGGCCAATCAACACATGAAGAGTTGCACTAATGATCAGGGAAATGTATATTAAAACCACAGTGAGGTACCACTTCATGCCCTTTAGGATGGCTGTTATTAAAAAACAAAAACAAACAGAAAATAACAAGTGTTAGGGAGGATATTGAGAAATTGGAACTCTTGTACATTTCTCGTTGGAATGTAAAACGGTGTGGCTTCTATAGTGGTTCCTCAAAAAATTAAACACAGAACTGCCATATGATCCATTTCTGGGTATAAACTCAAAATAATTGAAAGCAAGGACTTGAGCAGATATTTGTACAGCCAGGTTCATGGCAGCATTATTAACAATTGGCAAAGGGTGGAAGCAACCCAAGTTTCCAAGGGTGAGTGGGTAAATAAAATGTTATATATATCTACATTAGAATAGTATTGAGCCTTAAAAAGCAAGAAAATTCTCACACATACTACAACATGGAAGAAACTTGGAGACATTATCATAAGCCAGTCACAACAGGAGAAATACTATATGATTCCACATTTATGAGGTACTCAGAGTAGTTGGAGAGTAGAATGGTGAATGCCAGGGGTGGGGGGAAGGGAGAGATGGGAAATTATTGTTTAGTAGGTAAGGAATTTCAGTTTGGATGAAAAAAATTCTAGATATAGATGGTGGTCATGATTGTACATACAACAGTGTGATGTACTTAATGCCACTGAATCATACGCTTAAAATGTTTAAAATGGAAAATTTAAAAATAACTGTAAATATCCTCCTCAACACTAGCACCAAAAAAGAAAAAAAAAAAAAAAACAGTATTCCTACCCCTTAAGTATAGTACATATCAGCAAAATCTAGACAAAAAATATGATTATATGAATGTTTAATTGCCTCAACTTGTTTCTCCAATCTTCCCTATCAAACTAGAAAACCTAATAGTCATTTTTGTTATGCCCCCTCCCTCATCTCATACCCAATTCTTCACCAAGTACTCTAGAATTTATCACTACCTCTTACTCTACCAACACTCCTTACTCCAGGCCATCATCGTCTCTTTCCTGAACCACTGCAGTAACCCTTAGCTCTGGTCTTCCTGCTTCCATTCCTGGAGGGAGTTAGGGGACAGGGATGAGAAGGGCATTCTGAACTGAGGAAATCTCGTGCACAAAGCCATGATTCCATATCATTGTCTTTTTTAAGTACCATGGCACACTTCATGCTGCAAGTGGATCTATTAAAAGGGGTGATAACAGAAGGCTATCAAACATATTGGTTATTGAAAGTGTCTAAGCAACTGAGTTTAAACAAAAAAATGGCATTCATTAAGTATCCACTTCGTGCTGGGTACTGGGTCAGGCATGGAGTTTAAAAGGGGGAACAAGCCCTGGCCAGTTTGGCTCAGCGGTTAGAGTGTCCGCCTGCGGTCCGGAGAGACCCGGGTTCGGTTCCCGCTAAGGGCACGTACCTCGGTTGCAGTTTGTCCCTGGCCCTGGTTGGTCGTGCGGGTGGCAGCCACTCAATGTGTCCCTTTCACATCAATGTTTCCCTCTCTCTCTCTTCCTCTCTCTCCCTCCCACTCTATCTGTAAAAAAAATGGAAAAATGTCCTCGGATGAGGATAAATAAATAAATAAAAGGGGGAACAAAACCACATCTCTGCTCTCAAACTAAACTCCTATTCTAGTTGTGGGAGCACACAATTACAATATGCAGTGCCAATAAGTTTAGAGTAGTATCTAACCTGGTTGGGTTGTGGAAAGCTGCTTAGAGGAGCCTGTGCTCAGTCTTAAAAGATGAGTAAGTGGTAGCCAGGTGAAGAAGTTAGGGATATTTGGGAGGTGAGAATAATTGTTCCAGTGGAACAGTATATGCACATAAACAGATGTGGCAGAGCATCAGATGGTTGGGAAAGTAATGTATGTGGCTAGGCTATATAGTGTTCATGGGTTGAAGTCTTAGGAATAAGAAGAATCTCATGGGAACACAGAAATCTCACAGGAACCAATGTATTGACACCCAGCCATGTTTCACACAGGATGGATGGAGTACACGCATAATTTTCAGGAATCATTTTGTTGACTCCTCAACAGCAAGAGTTTGTTCCCAACCATTATGGTGATTTCATTTCTCTTTTTCTTTCTATTACTCCAGCCATTACTTTGTCCTCCATTCAATATACTGAGTAGGTTTGGATTACTCATAGCTTCCACTTACCCATTTTCTGTTTACACAACAGTTTCTGCATTCTTGTCATCACCTCTGTCTTCATGTATATCTTCAGCTTCTGTTTTGTAACAACCAAGTAGTCCTCTGTGTGTCTCAGATTCAGATATCCTCATAGGAGAGGACCTGATTGGTGTAATTAATCATTTGGGACCAGAAGGATCATAGGAAACTTAGGAGGGGACCCCGTTCAACAGAGTCAGTGGGCAGATAAGCATTCTGAGATTTGGCCTTTACAGTGAGGAAAGAAAAGGAAGAAGCAGAGGGGGGTCTCAAAGGTAGAAGACAGGGTTACAGATATGAGAAATATTCTAGGAAAGGAATAGCACTTAGAAACTGATTAGATCTTGAAGGTTGGGGATCAGGTAGGGGGAAGTCTTGGTAGAGTTATAGATTTCTGGCTTACACAGTTGGGCAGATGTTTACTAGATGATGAAGATGAGAAAATACACAGGAACTAGGGTCGGTAGAGCAGGGAAGGGCGGAAAGATACACTGCACTACAGATAGGAGTCTGGAGTACCAAGGAGCATCCAGAGGGAGATACCTAGTAGGCACTTCAATATATGGAGCTAAAGAGATAGGATGTATTTGTTGCAGGTGACAGACAGTTTCAACTAGCTTAAGCAAAGGGGGACATTGGTTGGCACATGTAACCAATGTGAGAAGGATGAGGTTGGAGCCAGGCTTGAACAGGAACAAGGATTTGGATCCCATCAGTACGACCCCAAACCTCTCACTTCAATTTTCTTTTGGAGTAGAGACCCCAAGCACTATGGCTTCTTCACATGGCAGAGGACACAGCTATGGGCAACTCGGGGTACATATTCTATCCACTCCATAACCAGTAAGGAAAGCTTGTTCTTCCAGCTTTGGTTTAGAAAATCCTAGGGAAGGCACTCAATGATTTATACTAACTCAGTCCTGGGATCAAGAAAACATGAGGTGCTGTATTTGGCCCATCTTTGATCACATGCCTTCCCATGTGGCCAGAGTGGGTGAGGTCTGTTCTTAAATGAAGCAGAGTATCACAGGAAGACTATCCACTGATATTAATTCCTCACTGAATAGCTTTTCCTTTCTTTCCAATGTATATAAAACAGAATTCTCTGCAGTAGCTCACAGAGTGACTGGGCCAACTCTGTGCAGCTGGAACCATTTCTGAGTGTTTCCACCAGACTTTTCAGTTATCTGGGAGTATTTTTATACCTCCAGATTGTCACTTCAAGAAAAAGTAAAGTTGGCTAGTAGTAGGAAAGCTAGAACCCTGGAGAAAATGAGGGAAAACTTTCAAGTGCAATTGTTTCTTTATTCTGCCAGTACTATACATCAGTGTCCCCTCCTTTGCAAGTGTCTCTGTGCTTACCAGAGCAATGGATCAGAATGAAACTTGCTACCAATTTTCCAGGCATTGTTGGAGCAGAAAAACTCATCATTATCAGTCTTATCCCCCTATTTTCTCTTTATGGAATTGCTGGATAATGTACTCCAGATAAACAAGAAAGAGGAAGGCACATTATTAAAATAGTAAAACCAACAGAAAAATGTCAAAAGGAACATCTCAGACAAAGGTGTACCCAAAGCAGGAGGAAGTGGGGGCTTCAGTGAGAGATCTCCAGGGTGGGAACTGGAACGGAGATCACCTGCTATGTTTGAGCATTGGGGGGTGAGGGGGGGTACTGCTGGTGGTCATACAACAACTCTAGCTGAGCAATTGAAACAATAATCATTTAATAGAAAATTATACTGGTGGGAAGAAATGAGGCAGTTATTGATTCCAAAAAGCAAAAGCTAGCCCTGGCCGGTTTGGCTCAGCGGTTAGAGCGTCGGCCTACGGTCCTGAGAGACCCGGGTTCGGTTCCCGCTAAGGGCACGTACCTCGGTTGCAGTTTGTCCCCGGCCCTGGTCGGTTGTGCGGGTGGCAGCCACTCGATGTGTTCCTTTCACATCGATGTTTCTCTCTCTCTCTCTGTTCCTCTCTCTCC